ATGTTTTCTTATTATAGCAGGTTCATTAAATAGGTTTATATGTAAATACTAATTTCACCTAAAATCGATTACATAAAATAGGTGTCTTTTCCATTAAACTGAAGATTGATTGAGTTTGAATTATATAAATTTTACTAGTAGTAGTAAAATCAGTGTTTAATATTCATGTTATATTGTTTATGTTTCTAAAGTCATACATGCTTATGTTTATGTTTTTTTATAGGCCTATTGTTAAAACTGAAATTCGGTTCTAAAAAAACTCAGGCCTCTTCGTTACATCACCGATAAATGCTTATAAAAACTAGTAAACATTAGTCAAATTTTAGACTTTTTGTCAAATAATACAGTTGGGACAATCAAACGAGTTTCCTTGCTTTTTTATACAGCAATATCGGGTTATAGTGAACAAAAATGTCTAATAATAATCTGATATTCATAATTAACTTCGTACAGAAAATTATGTTTTCTTATTATAGCAGGTTCATTAAATAGGTTTATATGTAAATACTAATTTCACCTAAAATCGATTACATAAAATAGGTGTCTTTTCCATTAAACTGAAGATTGATTGAGTTTGAATTATATAAATTTTACTAGTAGTAGTATAATCAGTGTTTAATATTCATGTTAAAATGTTTATGTTTCTAAAGTCATACATGCTTATGTTTATGTTTTTTATATTGTTGAAACTGAAATTCGGTTCTAAAAAAACTCGGGCCTCTTCGTTACATCACCGATAAATGCTTATAAAAACTAGTAAACATTAGTCAAATTTTAGACTTTTTGTCAAATAATACAGTTGGGACAATTAAACGAGTTTCCTTGCTTTTTTATACAGCAATCTCGTGTTATAGTGAACAAAAATGTCTAAAAATAATTTGATTTTCATAATTAACTTCGTACAGAAAATTGTTTTCTTATTATAGCAGGTTCATTAAATAGGTTTACATGTAAATACTAATTTCACCTAAAATCGATTACATAAAATAGGTGTCTTTTCCATTAAACTAAAGATTGATTGAGTGATTGCTAATTATTTTTTAAAGCTGGTGCATTAAAAAGTTACAACATAGATGAATTTAGTCATAAAATATATAGGTCAAATATAGGTCGAGGACTATTGTATACTAAAAATTTATTTTTGATAATTTTGTGATGTTCTGGATGTCAATCGTTTCATTGCATGTACATGCAACACATCTTTTTACTTCTTGTAATGCTTTTATTTAAGTCTTTTAAAATTTGGGCCTATCAACAGTTACAAAAAAATGAACTACAAAAATAAGGACAAAATATTGATCATTTCCTGTAATTAATTTTTCAGCAGTGACTAATCAAACCGACTACGCATAACAGGGCTGGGAATAGGCACATGTCTCACAAAAACAAAAGTTTCGTTTTGTGGGAACACACTAACAATATTCAAGGGACGGGGTTAGTAGAACATCCCATTTTCAGGCTCGTACATTTAAATACTCCGAAGCATGTCGATTATGCTATTTTGAAAGCATGATATTGGTTTTGTTCAGATGCATATACTATAAATAAAACATATTAACAATAATTAAAATTTCAATTTATAGCCTGGCAGTCCCAGACTAAAATATGAAAGTAAGAACTACCTGTCTGTGGATGTTGATTCATTACGTGTTGAGCGGAAAAAGCTTTCAAGAGAAACCAAATATCGTGATATTTCTAGCTGACGATATGGGATACGGCGATCTTCAACATTTTGGAAACCCGTTATCACGAACACCAAATATCAATTATCTAACAGACAATGGATTAAAACTGACACAATTTTATAGCGCTGCTCCAATGTGCAGCCCAGCAAGGTAATGCAATAATGTAATAATTTGTGGTTTGAACTGCCCATGCTCGTATCCAAGTCCTAGGGTAATCCAAAGATACTAGAAATACAAGCTAAGAGTTCTCCACAAAAAAAGTGTTCCACCGAAATGCATGGTGGGAATACGAAAAATGGGACGCCCCCTACAGCTGGATCTAAAAAAACTTGTGCCAAACTTTCGTTACCAAGTCGTCGCGTATTTTATTATCAAT